TGATAAAACACTGACCAAAGGAAAGGATTTATTACATCTTGCAGTTCCTGGGTCACAATCCGACACCAAGGGAATTCAGGGCAGGAGTTCAAGGCAGGAACCTGGAGGCAGGAACTGAAGCAGAGGTCATGAAGGAATACTGCTGCCTGGCTTACTCTCCATGGTTTGCTCATCTTGCTTTCTTATACAGGTCAGGACGACCAGCCCAGTCGTGGAATTGCCCGTAATGGCTTGGCCTGCCTACATCCATTACTATGTTAAAAAATGCCCACGGGCCAATCTGACAGTGGCAGTATTTTCAATTGCGGTTCCCTCTTTGTGGGTGATTCTAGTTTATGTCAAGCTGACAAAAAAACTATCACAGAAGCCTTCAAGTAGGGTGAGGTTGACCAGCTGTCAGGAGTGTCAAAGAAGGACTTCAACACTGGGTGGAGATGTGCTTAAAGCTGCCTCTTAAATTCCTTTCCAGCTCTGATTCTAAATTATTGAGACTAGCATGAATAAAAGATCCAAGCTCATTCATGAACTAAATTATTCAACAAACAGTAATAGAACTTTCAGCTATGAAGTTGAGTCAACTAGGCTTTGGGTGATACCAATCCTGCTTTACAAGGAAAATAGAGATAGGTCTTAGACAATAAAGTATTTTTTAAATCAAAACGTCACAATTAATTTTATCAGAAAGCATCATCCATAGTCACATTCTCTGAAGAAGAAAAAAAACATTCTATTTCAATCTTGATCTACTTGCCCACAGAATTTCACATTGGAAGAATTTTAATACACCACCTGAGCAAAGCTGAGTCCTTTACTGCTGTTTTCTGCCTTCCTGCTGGGATGCAAGATAACAGAGTCTCTCCTCCACTCTCAGTCTGAAGTGACTTCTCTTGTTCATTTGTTTTGGTTTCTCTTCGTTGTTGTTGAGAAATGTTCTCAATATGTACGGTAGCCAAGACTGGTCTCAGACTCACTGGATAGGCCAAGCTGGCCTGGAACCCTCCATCTTCCTGCTTCCATCACCCATCTAAGTGCTGGGATTACAGGCACATTCCCCCAAACCCAACAGTCTTCTTCTCCTTACCTTATGTTTTTAAATTGTTCACCAAAAAAATTCATCTTAGACTATAGTTCTACTTGAACATCTTTATACAAACAACTTTAAAGCATTTAAATTTTTTGATAAATAATAATTATATGTAGTCCCAAGGCAATGTGACATTTTGACATATGGTATCATAGAATTATTATATCAATCTAATCAATGTATCCAGAGCCTCAAATGCTTAACATTTTTTATAACTAGAACCTTTTAAATGTCTGTGTTCATACTTTGAAGTATGTAATTGAGTGAAATTAACTACTGTCACCACACTGAACAAGCAAAAAATTTACTCCTCCTATCTAATGACAACTTTGTTCCCTTTGAATGACCTCCCTTTTGTCCAGGACACACCCTTTTGAATTAGTTCCTACCTGGGCTTAATGAGCAACAGGGTACAGATATCTTTAGAGATGCGTGTGTACTGTCCTAAGAATGTCATTGGTTTGCAGAACTATCTCCTTAAAGCACTATCTGTATTTTAAAGACAGCAGACAGATGTGAATGGTAGCTTGTAATTGGAAGCACTATCTGTATTTTAAAGACAGCAGACAGATGTGAATGGTAGCTTGTAATTGGAAGCACTATCTGTATTTTAAAGACAGCAGACAGATGTGAATGGTATCTTGTAATTGGTTCCTTTTCCTTTTTCTTTTTCTCCTCTCTCTGTCTCTCTCTCTGAGTGAGTTTGATAGCTTTCTCATGTCTCCCCACTCCGCCCCCAGCCCCCCATGATGACAACATTCTTACTGCATGGAAAGAAATCAACAGGGTACAGAGACAGAGGCAACACACCAGAGAAGAGAAAGAGAAGAGAGGATGTGAATTCCAAGAGGAAGGGCAAATTTTCTCCCCAAACAACTGACTCTCTCTTTGGATAGCTAATCTGCATCCCTGTCCTACTGTTCTCCTTTGTTTTCTGATGGCGTGATGAAGAGCATGACCAAGAGCAACTTGTGGAGGAAAGGGTTTATTTGACCTTAGAGGACTGAGTCCATCATGGAGGGAGATCAGGCAGGAATTCAAGGCAGGAGCTAAAGCAGAGACCTGAGGAATTCTCAAATCTCACCTCTCCCTTCTCAGGAATGTGTAGATTGTGTCAAGTTGACAAGAGCTAACTCTGACACCCACTTGCCTTTATCCACAGGAACCCAAAACAATGTGAGAATTTACCCATAGGTCCCTTTCCCTTTAGATTCACATATATCGATGAAAAACTAGGGGTTCTTGAATGTTTCCTTACAATTTCAAACATTTCAAAAATGAACCCTCATTCTGAAGGGTCTGACAAAGGAGAAGCAAGCAGATGCCCACCATGTGAAGAGCAAAGAGAAGATACTGAAAAGTGTAAGAAGATAACACCAGAGTGTGCCAGCAATCAAAGAGAAGAACTGAAGTCTGGACTAATTGCATTTCTTCCCAAAGTCAAGTAAATATGGACCATGACAACTGTTCCTTCTTCCCCCCTGGAAAGATGAGCAAACGGAATGAATGAAGGAGTATTCAAAATAAAGCACAAAAGGGGTGGCAGTGTGATATTAAAGCCATTCTTAGAGGAACTGCAGGGGCCACACAGTGCCACACAGGACACTCCTTACACAAGCACACAGTGCCACTTAATTCCTGGGGAAACAGGTAAATAGACTAATAAAATTGCAATCTGACATGCTGTAGTTGCCTAGGTAATACCATTCTTATATTTCCCATGGGCAAGTGGCTGATAGCTTTCTTTAGATGTTACTCATATGCGCAGAGTAAAAATAGCTCACTCTTCCCATAAAATGCACTTGAAAATGTATGGTCTACATTTGAATGCTGTCTTGTGTAGATACTAATATTACATTTGTAGGAAGATGTAATTCCCTGGGTCTCTAGGAAAAACAGGCTCTTGGGAACAAAAGCGTATCATTTCAAAAAACCCCAAGTGCATACGGTCGTAAAGGACTACTGACATAGGATTCATGCCCATGCCTTGGTAAAAAGTTTTTTATTTTATTTTTTTACTTTGGCCAAGAGAAGCATACTAGAATGAGGTGTTTAAAATAGTAGTTTCCTGAGAGTAGGGCTGCTAGTAGGCTCTGTGCCTCCTAGCCTTCCATAACAACCTATGGAAACACTAAATGACAGCCCTTCTCAAAGAACCAAGGAGCCCAAGTCTGGCATGGTAGCCAATAACTGCAGTTGCAGCCTTCGGGAGGTAGAGGCAGGGCAGACTGGAGTTCAAGGCCATCTCCTTGCAGTTTCACAAGCAAGACCTTGTCTCGAAAAATGAGGAGGAAGAGGAGAAATCAGCGCTAATAGAAAACCAGACTGTGTTCTAAAGGACTCACTGAACAAGCTACGCTCTGCCATGTTTTCACTAACCCGTCTGTAAGCATTCTGTGCCGGTTGAGTCCTCACACCTACAAGCAGTTTCTGCTCATTCTGTACCTATCTGACCAGTGCATAGCTGCTGGACTTGCTGCATGAACTGATGCAGGCCAATTAACCGATGCATGCCAAGGAGAGACACAATGTCTCACATTCACAGACCGGGTTGGCAGTAAAGGCTAAAGTTCTCTGTGCTACTACATATAATGCTAGAGTTGCTGGGTTTTTTTTTTTTAATAAGATTTAATTGCTAAATAAAATAGCGTTTCTTTATAAGAAACAATAGCCAAAACAAAATTTCAAAAATAAACTGAAATGTTGCCATCAGACAGAACGACACTCACCATAGAGTTCTTGTGGTGACATTTTTTTTCTCCATTTTTGTTAATTATGCAAGATAATGGGATTCATCATGGCATTTTTATACGTGCATATAAAGTTTTTTTTACTATCTTGTCACAATAGAGTTTGGTATACACAGTCTTCTGCAGTCTGTTGTGTAGAGATAAGTCTCTTACAGGCACACAATTATACACAGGCTTTCATAATATTCTGTCAGACACAATCTCACGCATCTAATGGCCTCTTTCATATAATCTCCTCCACGCAGACTGTTACAGTCTGTTACAATGTTTCTCATACACACTTTCTCACAACACATGTCCTCTTTTCTGACTCTCCCTCTCCCTCTCTACACACACACACACACACACACACACACACACACACACACACACACAGAAAAAGAGAGAGAGAGAGAGCGAGAGATTAAACATCTCAGTCTGCTGTGTACAGTTACTCGCAGACACACAATTACACAGGGGCTTTCCTATACATTAATAGCCAGTCAGATACAACCTCCTACATGCACCTATGACCTCTTTCATATATAAAATCTCCCTCAGGCAGTCGGTTACCGTCTGTTACAGTGTTTCTTACAAACAGCTTCCTCACCTGACTCTCTCATCGCTTTCTGTGTGTCTGTCTCTCTTTCACACACATGCACACACACACCACCACCACCACCACCACCACCACCACCACCACCACCACCCAGAATATCTGTCTGTTGTGTACAGATAGTTACAGACACAATTACACAGAAGCTCTCACATACATTAATAGGCTGTCAGACACACCTAGGTGCTTATCTCCCATAAGCACCTATGGCTTCTTTCACAGTCTCTCTCATGCAGTTTCTTACAGCGATAACGCTACACCACCCCTTGGTTCCGCCCCTCCCTGGCTCCGCCCCTCCCAGAGTCCGGCCCACCCTACCAAGTCCCTCCTCCATTGGGCAGCGTCCAGCCTCGGCCCCACCCCTCCCTCGGTGGCCCCGCCCTCGTAGGGCTCCGCCCCCGGGTTGGGGGCGGGGCGAGCGGCTGACAGGAGGGGCGGGCGGCTCCGGCACTTCTGGCGCCCAGGCCGGTGGGGCGCGCTGCTGGGGTTCACGTCTGTGCCGGGCTCTCGAGCAGCGTCCCGGTGTGGCAAGCGGCGACCGTGCGGGCGGGCGGGCGGTGTCGGCGGCGGGATGTGCTCGGCCGGGGAGCTGCTGCGGGGCGGCGGCGCCGGCGGCGGCGGCGGCGGGGAGCGCGACGAGGACGGGGCGGCGCCGGCAGAGCGGGCGGAGGAGCGGGAGCCCCGGGCGAGCCCGCGGCGCAGGCGGCGGCCGGACGAGGGCGAGCAGGTGAGCGCGGGCCGCGGGCGGGCAGGCAGCTGGGCAGGCGGCGAGCGGTTGACGGGCGGGGCCGGCCTCCGTGGAAATGCCCTCCGGTGCCTCACCTGAAAACACCCGGCAACTTGGGCTACGTGGGCCCTCGGCTCGGATTCGGAGCGCTGCCACGCGCCCTGGACGGTGTAGGCGGCCGGCCCGCCGGCCGGCGCAGCGGGTGGGGAAGCGTGTGTCGGCGCCCCGGTGACACTGGGACTCTCCCAGAGCAAGTTTCACAGCACCGCCGCCGCCGAGCAGAGCTCCACTTCATTTTAGAAGTGAAAAAAGAACATTGCTTTCTGTGAGCACCAAAGCGAAGGAAGCTTTACTAAGAGGCCAGACATAATAGAGAGAGAAGCCGGGTACTTTTTAAGTTCTCCGAATTGGATCTCAGTTTGAGTGTAAACATTGAATTCTACGTGGGACAATTTTTTTTACAGGCAGTTACAGTAATTGGCTACTCAGAAATCCTCCGGAGATGCAGACCTTTAGAAATCACATAAGTAAGCCAATACTCCTGGAATAATCAGTTAATACCCGTCTCTTGTCATCACTCCCCACTTGTCCCTTTTTCTAACATTTCAAAAACTCTAATATCACTAACTAAATTAATAACTAAATACATTACTAACTTAAAAACATTTCAACATGTTACTTAAGAAACAAATATGCTATGTGGCCTTGGACTTGTTCACCATGTGAAGAGTTATTGTTCATCTACGTGACCATATGTGACAGAATTGGTAGCTAGGAGATCTTGCTGGCTCCCTTTCTGGTGGCATTCCTATTTAACTGTACCATGCTTGACTCAGTAGGTAAGGTCTTGATTTCCTCTTACCTTAATTGCTTGACCGGACAAGACAGCCATCAAAACCCTTTTCCAAAAGTAAATGTACGAATGGTTGTCGTGGCATATGGGAAATACTTCCCTTGAATGTCTCTGGACTTTACCAATATGATGACATGGACAGCACCAGGAACTCTAAGTCTTACTGAAACTGTTAATAGAACTAAGAAAAAGGATGAAACACAAAATTAAGTATACATTCTAGAAAAGAGATACCCTATCACATACCTGCTTCCTCCATGGTGTCATGAAATTTCATTTTCCTGCACTCCTTAGACGTGTTACTTGTATTGTTTTATTTTGACTACATTGTTTACCTGTATACTCTAAACTCTGACAATCATGAAGAAAACACACGTGGAATCTTACCATATCAGTACCTGGGAACCTCTTATCAGGAAGTCAGAATTGGTACAGACCAACCCACTGATGCGGAAAGCAAACTTCTGTGATCCATCATATTTTGACAACAGTACCACAAAGCCTGTTTTCTAGGGTTTTTTTTACAACCTGCAAATGAAAATTTAAAATCTATGCAATGCCACATAGATAGAGATGTTTTTACATATACAGTTTCTGAAGGAGAATTACAGAATTGTAATTAATAACTAAATACATTACTAACATAAAAACATTTCAACATGTTACTTAAGAAACAAATATGCTATGTGGCCCTGTAAACAGAATTACAGAATTGACAACTATAAAACCTTCCAAGGAGTCATTTTAATTTTTTATTATGGAGATATTCTCTTGTTCATTATTTTGGTTGGTTTTAAGGATACCAGGACTCCAAATTATAAATGGGATAATTCTGGAAAACTGCTTCCTATGTTAAAGTTTACACTGAAATTTTCTATAAAAATCAAAGATAGAAACCAAAATGGAAACCAGACTAGCTTGAAATGAGGCAGGGGCCATTTTCCTGCTGTCTTTCTGCTTCGTGTGCTCAGCTAGTCTGAAGTTCGGAGTCTCAGCCTCTAGATGTTGAGAGGGAACTGAAGGCCACAGCCCTCGGAAATGCCTTCTTAATCTTAGGTGGGGCCAATGTGGTACGTTCCAGAATCACCTCATGTGAGCTTCGCAGCTTTTACAGTTCCTAACTTTGTGTGTTATATCTTGCTCTGTTTCTGTTTCCTTTTCTGATAAGAAGCAGATCCCTCCCCGGGTTCCTTCCCAACCTGTAGTCTCCACAGACATCTCTCCCATCATTTACAGTTTGTCCTTAACTCATACTCAGTTTGAAGAAAAGCTAAGTAGTATTCTGGCCTGAATCTTTGCAGGCAGGATGATTGACAAAATAGGTCCAGTTAAAAATCAAGTACTCGGCCGGGCGGTGGTGGCGCACGCCTTTAATCCCAGCACTCGGGAGGCAGAGCCAGGTGGATCTCTGTGAGTTCGAGGCCAGCCTGGGCTACCAAGTGAGTTCCAGGACAGGCGCAAAGCTACACAGAGAAACCCTGTCTCGAAAAACCAAAAAAAAAAAAAAAAAAAAAAAAAAAAAAAAAAAAAAAAAAATCAAGTACTCTTAAGAAGGAAGCCTTGAGAAAAAGGTAACTGTCTAATTAGAAGTACAAGTCAAGCCTCTCAGAGATAAGCAAGGGGAAAGAGTAATTATGCTGCTCTCCAGGCAACTGAAGAGCCTGGGCATAGCTATTCCACAATGTTGATAATTGTGTTCATGAGAGAGGATCCACGTATCCTGATAACAGTGACTATGTGGTGGTTTTATGGAAGACAAATGCCCTGCTTGATAGCTGGAAAGCTAAAGGTCTCTGGGTTTTATTCTGTGTCTGTAATGTCAGTGGTATTTGCTTTACTACAACATAGATTGCTATTCACAATAACCTGAGACAGCTGTATTTACAGGAAGCTGTTAATTTTAAGGTCTTTATTATTGTAAAAGTAATGTGTACTTAAGAAATTGTAAAAATGCGTGTGAAGAAAATAGAACTTGTAAGGAATTAGTCCAATACCTTGAAATCAAGCACTTGCTGTTACTGTGTCTCTGTGTTTTGGCTTACCGATCAGGTGCTTTAATGAAGTTTTCTATCTGATTGAATATATTTAGAAGTTAGCATCATTCCCCATGTCAGAAAGCCCTGTGAAAGAAGCTTTAGAGCTCCCTAATACTCTGTTCTCCTAATAGCGTACACGTAAGTGGCTTCAAACTTTCTTTCATAAATAATGGTATATAAACAATCCCCCACTACTAATCGTAACACTTCTTTGTTGAAAGAGATTCCTAGAAGTGGAAAAACTAGGTCAGAGAGTCAAACTTCTGGAAGTGGCCTGGGGCAGCCCAAAGAATGCATTAAACAAGTGCCCCACCTTTTTGTTATTGTTGTTTTGCTTTTTGTTTTTTTGAGACAAGGTTTCGCTGTGCAGTTCTGGCTGGCCTGGAACTCACTATGCAAAACATGCTGGCCTGGAACTTAGAGAGATCCCCCTGCTTCCTTTAAAATAATGATGCTTCACTTCTGTTTTTTGCCTTTTGCAATGCCTAGAATTTTACAAAGAATGATACTGGCTTAGAAATTTAAGTAAATAACAGGGACTTTCATGACAGTGTTTATCAAAGTTTTCCACAGATGATCTGGAAAAATAGTGGAGTAGCCTGTATGTCCTTTTTGATCTTATCATTAGAGGTAGGATTGATTCACTATGGATTCTGGATCCAGAGTGCATAGGTTTGTACTTACAACTGAAGCTCTGGGGGAGTAAATTAACCCTCCTCTGTGGACTTCAGTTTCTTCTTTTGTATAATGAGAATAATGTCAGTCTCATAGGAGGGTGGGGAGGGTCACACGAGTTAGTAATGTATGAAAAGTACTCTTAGAGCAGTCCCTACCTAGTACGTTAGCTACACACAGTGTTAGCTCTGAGACCTAATGGTCAAATAAACCAGAACCGGGAAGAAATCTGACCAGTAATTTGTAAGATTTTCCATATCTACGGCTAACAGGGAGCCTGGGCTGAGGGTGCCCTGGAGCAGTACCCTCGAATGTGCGCATTAAGTATCATCCTTTGCTAAGAAAGACTTCAGTGCAGCTAATCTGAAGTAAGGTCTCACACTTGGCCTCTCTTAACAGATTCTCAGGTGGTGCCGGTGCCATGACCACAGACCACACTTTGGCAAGGAAATGGGGGAAATATAAGCACACCAATCCACAGTATTCACTGTAATTGCCCTTCAGCAATAGTATCAGTAATGATGCATGTAAGGAAGTTATTTAACAGATTTTCCCTGAAGTGTATATTTGAACTCTTGACCAGGCAGAGTTCAAAGGCAAGGTAGGCCAACAAGGCAAGGAATTTGCTCTTGATCCTAGTAGTCTGTACCAGAGCAGAGAACCGGGGTCTCTAAGCTCCAAAGCCAGTTCTCTTATCCTACATACAGAGTCACCCACCGTTCATGGAGAACCATCTCTGATAGCTCTGTTGCTTTCCCTTAGATTATGTAGCTCAAAACTGGGTGTTTGTTTATATCCACATCGTTTCACGTCTTTTAAAATCAGCTTGCAAACAAAACTGTGCTGATACTGAGTTTAGATGATCAGTAGTTCTCAACTGAAGACAGTTTTACCTTAGGATCCATGTGACAATGTGTTGACATTTTTGGTTGTCGATACATGGAGCAGTAGGTGCTACCAGGTATCCAATAAAAGTGGCCAGGAATACGGCTAACAAGCCTGTGATGTAGAAAACAGTCCTTTGGGAGACTAGTTATGAAAGAGTAAACCAGGTGCTGTAGTGCACACTTGTAACCCCAGCCGGGGCTACCCAGTGAGTTCAAGGTCAGCTTAGACTGTAGTGAGCAAGACTGTCTAGGGAAGGGGGAATGCCTAGAAGATTAGTCAAACACACCTCTGGGTAGTCTGCAAGGTCACAAAAGGTTAAAGACAGTTAGATCATAAAGCTCTCATCTAGTGAATGGGTTACTCCTACAGTGGATTCATCTGATGAAACCCTTCCTGTATGCCTCTTTTTCCACTTCTGGCTGCCTGATGTGAAGTGTTCTTTGCCATGTACTCTACACCCTAACTCTGAATCCATGCGCCAAAATGAATCCTTACTACCTAGGTCAAGCACTTTGGTCAGAGTGATGGAAAGGAACCAATACCACCGC